TTCTGTGTTCCTTCTTTGTTATTCCACCTTAGCAACTGGTGAGAGAGTTAAGGCGATGAGGACAGGTACAGGATTAAAAACTGAACTGAAAAACACTTGTCAAAAACAATGGCAGAGTCCATCAACACCATCATATATAATCTCCAAATGAAGAGAAAGAACAGTCAGATTAAGAATCCACAGTTCTTTAGCATTTACTTTTTTTCTTCTTTTTTTTTCTTCTTTTTTCTTTTTTTTTCTTTTCTTCTTTTCTTTTTTTTTTTCTTTTCTTCTTTTCTTCTTTTTCTTTTCTTTTTTTTTTTTCTTTTTCTTTCTTTTTTCTTTTCTTCTTTTTTCTTTTTTCTTTTTTTTCTTTTTTCTTTTTTCTTTTTTCTTTCTTTTCTTTTTTTTTTCTTTTTTTTTATTTTCTTCTTTTTCTTTTTTTCTTTTTTTTTTTTTTTTTTTTCTTTTTTCTTTTTTTTTTTTCTTTTTTTTTTTTTCTTTTTTTTCTTTTTTTTTTTTCTTTTTTTTTTTTTCTTTTTTTTTTTTTTTTTTTTTTTTTTTTTTTTTTTTTTTTTTTTTTTTTCTTTTTTCGTTTTTTTTTTTTTTTTTTTTTTCTAAATGCTGAATACAAAGTAGAACATAATATTTTAATATTTTCTATTTAAAAAAATATTTTACATTTCAATACAGATATTTCTGTGTTTATTTGTTCCATTATTAAGTGAGGTTTGTACTTGGGAAATAAGTGATTTTCACTGTTACAGTGCATTTCTTGCATCATTTGATTATAATACACAGAAAAATATCTTCATATTCATGGATGTTTTTCCATGTATTACAATCAAATGATGCAAGAAATGCACTGTAAGGGTGAAAATAATTTATTTCCCCCAAGCGCTTTCCATCTCTTTCTGAGATCATGTTAAAAATAAGCAGACATAATGTTCGTAATTTTTTTTTTTTTTTTTTTTTTTAATCAAACATCTCTAAAAAGAGAATTTGCTGCCTACATACACACACACACAGGGGTGGGGGCAATAGAGAAATTGCCTAAATTATACAGAAATGAAGAAAACACTATCATCTCATTTTAACAGGTATATTCAGTTCATTTTTGGTGTTACAAAGTTTTGTTGTTCTCTCACTCAACTGTGCCCCACACATAATAATCAAGGTGGGTTGCAGTCTTGGGAGTTACATAGCCAGATGTAAGGGGGTGATGTGGTCACAGAAATTGTGTGACAGCTATGACTGGGTCTCCTGCTTGTGTAGAATAGTGCAGAGTCCTGTTGCCAGACATTGGGCTTTCCAGCAGCCATCCTCTTAACCCAGGGCAGAACTACCTCCTCAAGGCACTTGATGTAGGCCTCCGTGTTGAGTCTGGGGCCCTGTGAGAAGTTGAATGGAACCATAATGTCACCATCACTAGTGACCATTCAAACATAATGATATTGACTGGATATTTTGTTTTCATCACACTCTGTACATCTTTTAGGGATACAAGAAGCCAGCAGTCATTCCATGAGTCCACCATCTCATCCTGGCAGAAATTTTTCTTGCCCAAGAAAAACCAAAGTATGTTTGGCTGAACGAGATGCTTGAGTTTTTTCAAAACCTTCATAGCACACTTTTTCCTCTTGTCCTCCATGGCTTGGGATAAAAAACTGGCCCTTTCTCATCTTGCATGAGAAATACTGAACGTCTTCATGCACTTACTACCTGATAAGAAACTCTGGCACTCCTGTGGACCTGATTGACTTGGAGGGATCATTGTCAATCATGGCCAGAATCTCAACAACAAATTCAGGAGTTCTTTTCTTATAAGAACAATTAGTGAGTTTTCTGAGCTGAGTAATCACCATTAGACTCATCCAACTCTTTCCGAATACAGTGCACCGTCCTCAGATTGACACCTAAATACACTGAAATATTTGTATTGGAGCTTCAAGCACGAATGCCAAGCAGTGCAACATGCTGGTTCGAAATGAATTGTTATGGCACTTTTTTCTCACCATTCTCTGCATTTAAGAGAGCATTTACTCAAATAACTTGTTCCATAAAAATAACAGATAAACAAAAAATATATTGAAATATTTGTTGGATTAAATCTATTTCATCTAATATGTTGTCATTGTTTACACTAGGTTATATTTCAGATCTGAAATGATATATCGAGAAAGATCGTCAAAGATGTGTGTTTATGAGCAATAATTTGGATTTTGCTCACCAGAAAGTTCCTTGTGGCTGAATGGTTAACAGCATGTCAGGCTATATGTTGATTTCTATATGGGATGCAGATTCGATTCCTCTCAAAGAGCACATATTTTCTATAAATTTTCTTTAACATTCAGGCTGGTAAATGTAATTAATACTGTTTAATTAAAACAGAGCATTTACTCAAATTGTATCCATAAAAATAACAAACAGAAAATATATTAAAATTTTTGTTGGATTTAATCCACTTCATTTAATATATATATATATATATATATATATATATATATATATATATATATAT